AAATACATCGTTTTCCTATTTAAAAAACATGTTGTATTATTATACGTTTACTTTTTTTCATCCCGAAAAGATATGTCAAACACCGACAATACAAATCTGGTTTCATTCTAAAGCGTCTGAATATAGTTACAGTGCCATATTACATGTTTTAAGGTTTCTGATCATTTACAGCCATATGTAAATTTTGTAGAAGTCTTTTTATGCATTTTCGAAAAGCTTGTAATAAAAAACATAATATTATTCAGAATTTTAAACTTAAAGACTCGTGTTTTCTTATCATAATTTGTACATAATTTAGAAACCCTCAAATCATAATTATTTCTTAAACGAAAAGAGGTCAGAGATTGAATTCTATTCATTTCAACAAAGATTTATCTAAAATTGTTTACTTTTTATCACCTTAAGATGTCTTTGGCATTACTATTTATTTTATTGTAATTGCCTCTATTTCATCTTTGTGAACCTGACTAAGTATGTGATCAGTTTTCTTCTTTAAGCAGGAAGCTAGTCCTTGTAGTAATAAATAGCCGTTCCCCATGCATTAATGTTAATGTTATCTAATAATATAAAGGTCAAGTTACAATTCCCTTTTCGAATAAACTCTTTACATACAAATCATCTTATTATCAATCTGAATCCCAAAATGTATCCGTATAATCTGATTAGCATAAGGTTCATCCTCTTCAGATGAATGTAGCCGTGACCGATTTTCCAAAATAGAAGCATAGAATAGAGGTAGTTGTAAGCTTAAAGGTAATGCAAAAATTTGCTATATGGTCAAGAATTCGGTTCAAATGAACATATTGGAAGCATATGCGATCCTACAATATTCAGTGATCGTTGTCGCGGTTGAAAAGGAGTAAAACGTTATAAATTGTAAATAGTACACTCTTTATGTCAAGGTCAAGATATTGATTAAGCTATAAAACAATGTTTCCTGACTAAAATCGACCAATTAGCTATTCCCGCTTAGAAATTATATATCGCAACTACATATATTCTGAGATTTTCATGGTCGCAGCTGCCATTGTACGGCCGTAAGCGCTATGAAAGTTATCAAAATTTACCGGAAGCACCGGTAAATTTTTATATTGAATTTTTCTCGAAAGCAGAAGTGTTTTGGGGGCTACATTTTCTAGTGCTTATAACACATCCATAGGGGCATCCAAATATATAACAATTGTAAAGAATCACTATCCACATGATTGTCACAGTTTCCCAAAACTTTGTATTATCTTTATAGGTCCAATTTGCAGGCCAACAAAATTAAAGGGTTAAATTCCAACGGCATTTGGAAGATAATCGTAATTTAGAACTTCCCTCAAAAAAGGGGGGCTTGGAAATGTCTATAAGTGGGGAAAAAACGAATATTTGTTGTCGAATGGACTAAGGTGCTACCAAAACAATAAGAATAGGCTGATTTCCAGACCATTGTACCGAATGGTTGTACATTTTGTGCTGCGCAAAGATTCAATCAGTTTAATTTTGACAATTACAAGAAGTGAGTTATTGATGTAGACAAATGCTCATGTACTCTTTCCAGCTCATTTTATGTATGTTTTTACCAAAGGAAAAAAGCCAGCCAGTCACTCAATAGTGTCTGACAGTGAAGTCTAGCAAGTAAACGGGTTTCCTTGCATAATGAGAATATAAGGACACTGCTAACGTTAACAATTCACAGATAGGACATGCATGACAAATTCATAATTCCTGCAAAGTTCTACGGAATTTGATGTTGGCTGCAGAAGAGACATAGTATCTTTAACAGATCAGTACTAAAGTTGCAGTTAAGAAGAAAAGCAACGCCTTTTTCTGTGTACAAAAGCTAAAATTATTAAACTAGGCTTAATTGCTTCCACTCTTCATTCATAATATCCAATTTAATTGTTGTGCAGGGATTACGAATTTGATATCTACAATTTTGAGACCTCCTTTCTAAACTTGTTGTATAATGATATTCTGTCTAACTTTGTCCTTCTCTTTCCTTAGAAAACAAATAGAACAAAGTTTCTATATCTATTACATCCCGGCTCGGTTTAAGAATTAATACAAATAGGTGATTAAACTTAGATATACCGAAATATTTAATGAGCTGTATGGAAATATATAATTTACATTACTTCGTTTCAAAAATGTAGTTTATCTTTCGAAGCTTCAATTTCTCTTTTGTCTTTGTTTAATGTCAAACTAGAACTTTTTATCAAACATCGAATAACACTGTAACTGCTTAATAATCTAAGAAAAATGCACAACAATCATGTTTCCTATAATGATAGTTGTGATTCACTTGAGCAAAAAGTAATACCTCTAATTTTGTTCGTATTTCTTAAACGAGAAGCTAACATTTCAATTGCCATTATAACAAGTTACGGGGAAAATGAGCCCCTTGTCTTATTCCTTTGGGGATAGGAAAAAGCAAGTCCCTGGTTGAAGTGCCATTCTAGAGTACACTCCCTTCAATGATATGATAGACTGTTTTAACCCAATTAATCATTGTTGGACCACAGCCTACAGACTATATTGCTTTATAGATAAATTCATAGTCTATTGAATCGAAGGCTTTTCTAAAATAAGTTGATACAATAAACTAATTTTTTTTCTTCAGTATTTAAGTAATAAAACATATCCTGTGTATTTCCAATATCTTCTGCAATATTTATACCCTTGATAAAATCATGTTGATCTGATTGATTGAATGTACCACTTTTCGAGCGCGCTGCAAGTACGTTTGAGCAGATTTTCACATCGACATTTACCAATGAGATAGGTCGGTAATTCTCTTTTTTGTGTGTTAAATCCTTGTTGGGTTTCAAAATTAATTCGATAACTCTTTTTGTTTGACAAGCAGACAGTTCGGATTAAAAAAAAAGAATAACTAAGACCGATTATAAGAGAGCAGATACAAAGTCCCAGAATCTGACATTGTTTTTTGGATGATTTTCCTGTTGGCATTTCATGAACCGCTGCCTGGCACTGCTACTGTTAATTGGCCCTCACACATCTCTCGAGGTTCTTCCATCAAGTGATTAACTTTGTTATCTAAAACGTTCCTAGCGTTTGTGTATTGCAGTTCTACGTGCTTTTTGTAGTACAATGACTGATTAAAACATTAGTATAGATGGAAATTTATTTTAATAACGTGTCTACCTTTTGTTCCAGATCGAAAAATATTTTATAGGGAGAAACCTCATTTGTTAATCCACTTAAACTTCCTTTGTTTGGTCATACTGCTAAGCAAATGTGAACATGCTATCCCTCTTCCACATGTACTCCATAGTTATTATCAATTATACTTCATTTTATTTGCATCATTTAGGAATTATATTACAAATAAATGTCTTCGAGCAGATCCAATCTAATCAATAACAATCCAATTCATACATTTCCGAAACGGTCAATATTGAATAAGGCCTAAAGGTAAATAATCGGGTGATGTGACAAATTTATGTTAAAAATTCCTAATACAAAGTTTTGGGAAATTTTGAAAATTGGCTGGATAGTGATTCTTTACAATTTTGATATATTTGGATGCCCATGTGGAATTATTATCAGCACTATAAAATTTAGCCCCTAAAATACTTCTGCTTTCGAGAAAAATTGAATATAAAAATTTACCGGTGCTCCCGGTAAAATAGGGCTTACGGCCGTACAATGGCAGCTGCGACCATGAATATCTTAGAATATGTAGTTGCGATATGTAATTTTTAAACGGGAATAGCTAATTGGTCGATTTTAGTCAAGAAACCTTGTTTTATAGGTTAATTAATATCTTGACCTTGAGAGGGAGCTATACAACATAAATAATTTATTATTTACAATTTCATGAATTTAGACTCGATTTCAACCGTGACAGCGATCACTAAATCACTGAATATTGTATGATCGTATATGCTTCCAATATGTTCATTTGAACCAAGTTCATGACCCCATACCAAAACTTTGTATTACCTTTATAAACAAGACTTTCTCACTCTCTGTGTGTATCTGTTATTGATGTTGATCTATTTAATGCTGATGGGAGGCAAGTTTTCCATGATAACAGAGTTGTGATGATTTGTCATTAATCTACTATTAGTTATCAATAATTCCTTAAAATGAAACCAGGTATTATTTCGTATCATTATTTATTCATTTTCAATTTTCAGGGCCAACTAGCACATTGTGTGAAGAGTACGGATCAGAAGAAATGAGATCATCTTCATTCATCTTCAGACTGCCTCCTGACTTGTTCTTGATCTGCAGCAGATAGCATGGGGTGGTCAACGGCAGGAAGGAGAATAAACCCGACTGTAAATCGCATTACACTAAGTTAACTTAGTTAAATATAGCCCTAACTATAAGAAAAAATTCTTTGTCATAACTTTATGAGCTGTTTTTCTAATGACTACCGATAAGACCGTTGGCTGAAAACCATTACAAGATAATTCCCCGTCCTAAATCTATTATTTTAGCCCGGTTTATTTTTGCATTAACATGATTAAAGGTGGTTCAGTATGATGACTGGAGAAGTAAGATCAACTTGATAAAACCATTGCCTACTGGAACTGGTGAGATCTGTATTAAACCTAAGTAGGATATCATTATTCCCTAATCAACCAGTTGAATTTTTCTATTGATGTAATATTGTTGTTTGCATTATGTATCATATCAGTGCATATTGAGATAGGAGAATCATAATGTCGGAATTTGCACGCAAAGTTTCACGCGTTTTGCAGTGCCCTGTTTGTTCCGAGTTGATTAGTGACCCAAAGCAGTTATCATGTACACATACTTTCTGTAATAAATGTCTTAATGATATTCTTAAAAGCTCTTCACAAAATTATCTGACATGTCCCATATGTCGAAGCGAAACATCTGTAAAGGGTGGAAATGTCTCGAATCTAAATACTAATATTCCTCTTAAGTCTCTCATTGATGATGTAAGAAATTGTGAGCAGTTGTGTGAAATGTGTGACTCAAACTCGACAGCTGTACATTTCTGTTGTGAGTGTCGTAAGGACATGTGTAACACATGCCTTGAGATTCATAACAAATGGCCGCCTCATGTCAAGCATAGAGTTGTGAGAGTAGAAGACGTCAGAGAGGGAAGGGTGGTCATTGAAAAAGAGATTTACTGCCAGGAACACAAAGCAGATGAACAAAAACACATGTGTACTGATGTGTGTATAACATGTAAGAAGTTCATCTGCATGAGATGTAGATGGCTGAGTCATGAAAATCAAGGCCACACAGTTCAGAATACTGAGGAATACAATGCTTCTACCGAGATACAAATTGTATCTTTACAATCCCGAGTTGAGACGAAAGTTACAACCATCAAAAATCACGTGACCTGCATTAAAAATCAGAAGGAGCGTGTCACTGATCACATTGCCGGCAAAAAGGCTGAAATCAACAAGAGTTATCAAGAATCACTCAAGAAATTAGACGAGAGGAAAGCAGCATTAGACAAGCAGTTGGACGCTCAGGAAGAGAAATTATGTAAAAGATTGGATGAGATGCAAGATGTGGATGAGAGGTTGATCGCAAGTATTGAGAGTGCGAGTGTGTTAGCGGGTAATAGCATGAATGCACCATTAGAAGGTGATATCATTGTTATTCGTGATACGTTGTCTGGTGCGCTGAAGAATGTACTAGATAGGGATGATCCAAAGGAGAAGCTTGCTACGGATGTAGCTGAACATGCAGAGCAACTGATATTCGCACCTAACAATCAATGGGATCAGTTAAACATTGGTCAGGTGAGGTTCGTGAAATATGAGTTGGAATGTGATGGAGAACTCTCTAAGAAAGGCCAATTGAATGGCATGGCTGCTACACCCGATGGAAGAATGGCAGTGGGATACATCACAGGAGGAATCGATATCTTTTCTACTGATGGTCAGCTGCAGAAGACAGTCCTCAAGGATGTCGGTATCCGTAGATTAGGATTCCTGTCTGATGGTCGGTATGTCGTACTGAATAGCAACAATGACGTCACACTGTACACAGAAGAGTCAGAGAAGCTAGCTATAACGTTTGATACTCTGGGTAAAGATGAAAGTAATGTGATTGGTAGTCTCACTGTAGACAGTAATAATCTGATATGTGTTGGCTACTTGGTTGCCAAGATCCAGGTGTTCTCACCAGCTGGTGGGGAGGCGATTAAGGAGATACCATGCAATGGGTGTGTGGAGATTACTAGTTATAACGACTTATTGATCACTGAAAGTAGTTTCAAAGTAAGAATAATTGACAAAGATGGCAATGTAAAACACAAGGTAGAGAAATTGAATGTTTACCCATCCGCTGCTGTGACTCACAGTAATTCAATCCTGATCGCTTGGGTCAATCATGGCGATGGGCTGGTTAGTATCGATGAGTACACCAGCGAGCTGAAACACGTCCAGACTATCATCTCTGATCACAAGATTGAGAAGCCTCAGAGAAACTGGTACTATCTCCGCGTGTTTCGATCAGGGGAGATTGCTTTCTGCACTCCTGATAGATTCTATATATTTAACTAACCACCACACGAGTCCATGAACGATAACATTCCGGTATCCGACGACTATACAATAATTAAATGATTGAAAATCGAATAATTTTCTTCCAATGTTATGAATTATGACTCTCAATTATTCAAAACGATTTTTAGCGAAATTCTATTGAACTAAAGTTATACAAACTAAAAACATTTCCTCGCTCCACTACGGTTCGTAATCCTTGGTTCAATGAGGAGATACTTGTTGCACGCCTTGTAAGAACGGAAATGGATCAAAAGCTCTTCTGAGACAGATCACTCAGCTTTTAAGCTAGCTAACAGGCATGTTAATGAGATCATTGTTAAGACCAAGCAAAATTACATAAGGAATTACTTTGTAAAGCTAGTGCCAAAACTGTTTTTCAAACGGTTAATTATCTACCCCACAGGAATGTAAAACTTCTCCCTATGTATGACAATCCTACTGATTTAGCAAACCGTTTTGTTTTGTTCTTTGTCAATAAAATAAGTGATATTCACAACAATGTCACAGGCACACCTCCACGAAGTAGTGAAGGCTGTAAGATGTGCAATACTGTTTATGAGAATGATTGGAACTTGAGTTTGAAACTGTCAGCGAAGATAATATCAAACGCATTATAATCGAATGCTACTTCCATGTTAGATGCTCAACCTACTTGGCCTTTGAAGAAACTTATCAATTGTAATGTTCCTGTCTTGACTTGTGTTGTAAACAGTTCCTTAGAATCTGGTATCTTCCCAGAAGCTGCTCACGAGGCTGTAGTTGTACCTATTATCAAGAAACTCAACTAAGATAAGGATACTTTACGTGACTACAGGCCTGTTAGTAATATTTCACATATTGCCAAACTGATAGAAAAGGTAGTAGCTATTCAACTCATAGACCACTTAAACGATAACAACTTATATGATACAATGCAATCAGCTTACAGGTCCAATTTCAGCAATTAAACAGCTCTTTTGAAGCTGCAGAATGACGTTCTATCATTTCTTGATCAACGGAGGTCAGACCTCAGTGCAGCTTTTGATACGGTTGATCATGTGATATTACTGAATCGTTTATAGTCCTGTTTTTCATATATCAGATGTAGCTCTTAGGTGAATGAAGTCATATCTAACTGGTTGGTCATCCAGTGTAAAAATAGATGGAGAATTATCTGACCCATGGGTAGGTGACTTTGGAGTTGCTCAAGGGTCAGTTCTCGGACCGATCTATTTCAGTCTTTACATCACCCCCATATCTGACATTATTAATAAACATGGTTTACAGTATATTTGCTATGCTGATGATATTCAGTTGTTTACTTCTTTTGATCCACGCTCTCTGGAAAATATTAACGAAACACTTCACCAAATCTCACTGTGTATTGTAGAGATAAGCACTTGGATGTCGTCGAACTATCTCCAATTGAATAATAACAAAACTGGATTCATGGCCTTTTGTTCTTATGCTCGCCATCTGCAATACATATCAGACGTACGGCTTAAATTAAATGGTCAATTCATTCCTCTCTCCCCTACATTTACAGATCTTGGTTTATGCATTGATATTAAGTTCAAATTGACCTGTCATGTAAACCAGGAAGTCCGTAATTGTAATTATCATCTTCGCAAATTATGGAGGATTCGTAGATTCGTTGATTTAAAGACATGTCACCATGCTGTCCGAGCTCTCACGTTGGCGACCATGGAGTGCCACAATTCTCTTTCCCATATTCTATGAAGTTATTCATTCTCCCCGAGATCAATTCCACAAACTTTACAACTTTCCAGTCGCTTTCTTAGGTCTGATGTCAGGGTCCAAGCTTCACAGCCATACATTAAAACTGGATACACGTAGCAATTAAGTACGCAGAGTCTCGTTTTCATCTTCAGCTTTTTATTCTTTAAGATGTTTTCTAATTTGGAGAAAGTTGATTTTGCAAGTGCAATCTTTCTCTTGATTTCTTGCTCGCCTCTTGCATCATCCGTAATTATATTCCCGAGGTCATTAACAGAGGTGGCTTGCTTTATTTGATTGTTGTTGATCTCAAGAGCATGGTATTCCTCCCTTCTTTGAAATTACCATGCATTCCGTTTTCTTGTAATTTAATGATAATCTCTCTTGTCACTTTCTCTAACGACAACATGCATTCAGAGAGAATGTACGTTTAAATTTACATAATAAATGTATTATAAATATCCTAAAAGCATGGCAGAGTGTAATCTGCACCTTGTATAGTTTGTATGCTTTCAGTCTTCTGTTAGAAATGACAATGTTTAAAGCAAAAATATTTATTCTCCCCATTGCATACTTCTACATCTTCATTTTACTTTTACTTTGTAGAAGCTAACGTTGAACCCGAATACAAGTAGATTTATAGACCAGGATTTGATTGCTGCTATTGTGAATACATCTCGTAATATTACATGTGACATGATATCATTAGAGAACATGTTAAAGTATAATAGTGATACATGAAGCCGTTAGCATGTTTGGCTCAAGATTGTAACACTTGAAGAGGCATTTGTAGTATACATTGATAGGGTCAATGTTAAACAAGTCTTAATTCAAGTAAAAATCAAAGTACTGTTTTTTATTGAATTCTTGAAATAAATGTATGTACCCATATTGTGAATTGTCATACTTGTAAATATTTCTAATTACACATTCGGTTCACTACTAAACCTGTCTTCAATGAACTATTTAATAAACTCCTGAAATATTTACTCACATACTACGAATCGTCGTACTATTAATTATTTCTTTCTTTCTTTCTTTCTTTTTTCCAATTACTAATGTCTTAAAATTATATTTCAAGGCAAACAAGACTGCAACAATCTAGCCCTTGACAGGTCTCCGGCCTCTGTCTGCTCCCCCACTCAGAATGTAGTTTTCTTTCATTTTCTATCATATCATGTTATGTACAAGTATAAGTAGATGTATATATTCATTTCTAAATGTTCATAAATAGTTTTTTTTTTTTTAACTTTATGCTTTTATTCTAGTTATCTTTTTTTAATTAGTGGAAGTAAGCTTCAAACTGAAAAAAATGAAAAGTATATGGCTATGAAGGTATGGATAATTAAAAAAAACTATTAATCAATATTACTACTGATAAAAACGAGCTGCCAAGTTGGAACTTTACTGGCATGTGAACAAAAAATGAAGCTATATAATCATGAAGCTGTATGATTATTACACGTATAGGTGGAGACCATCACGCGGTGACCTCGTAAAGATGTTACTCTATTGTCTTTCATAGTAGGCCTTAATCACAAGGTGAAATGAAAAATACTTGTTTTTCGGATTTGTGTTGGATACAGTCATGTACATCTATTTGGGTAGGGTACCATCCTTGTATAATCATTTCATTCTTTAAATACATTTCTTGGAGAAATTAAATGTTTATAGTGTTGATAAAGTATGAGATTTATACGTCAATGGTTTGGAGACTTTGAGGTGGTTATCCCACTGATAATATCGTTTCCGAAATTTAAAATAGTACAGGTTCTGTATATTATATTGATAAATCTCAAAATAAATCATAGTTGAAAAAAAAATAAAGACCCCTCTTGTAAATTACCGGGTACTCCCCAATTCCTAAAGCTTATAGAGTTATTTAAAGAAAATGGATTTTCGTTGTTTTTTAACATCCGTTCTACGACAGCATAATATCGCTGTACACATATTTCGTTAAGTCTTTAAAGATAAATTTGAGTTCTGATCAGTCGAGTTCATTATTTTTTTTAAAGAAAACTTAATTCACATGTTACATGAATATTTGATTTTACAAAGCATATTGCTCCATAATAAAGAACAGGCCTAGAGGTGTATATGTGAATGTATAGACAAATGTATTACAACTATAACCTAAAATGATCTGTTTTTGTATAAACAAGTAATTGGGACAAATTTATCGGTAATTATTTGTGAAACTGGAGAGCTGACCCGTTTTAATTAAATTTCGTACACGCTTGATATGAAAGAGGAAGATAACATTGACTTTTTATTTAATGTATGTGTGTATCAGTCTTCATTTTGAAGAAAAAAATCGCTTAATTTAAACATTGTTGAATTCAAAGCGAGAATATTTTCACTCTTAATGCAAGAATATGGATCTTTTATTTGGATGATGATGATGATGATGATGACGTAATACCAAAGCTCCTCCTATATCCTGGTAATACTTATTCAAGGTTACAATCTATTTTATAGAGGCTAGAAGGCAGAACAAATACTTAACAAGAATTATGGTAATGGTGGTGAATAAAATTGTCATATTTGGCATTTTAACAGCGATCTATTTTCAGGAGATAATCCTACTATGATATTTTCCCAAATTGACAAACAAAGAATGAAGAAACTTCAAAATTATTTTTCGTTTTTACCAGGACTCAGTTTTGTCTTTGTCATTCTTTGTTGGACGATGTATACTGTTTCGTAATATAAAGAACAGACCAAGGAATGTATATGGGAATATATAGACAAATGTATTACAACTATAACCTAAACTGTTCTGTATGTGCATGAACGGGTCATTGGGACACACTTATCTGACAGGTTCAGTGATTATCTTTATAAATGTATTGCGAGCTGACCCGTTTCAAATAAATGTCGTTATTATTAAAGTTATATCTATGTAGAGGGTACTAGGATGACATAAAAAAAAAATAATGTAGAGGGTATCATTTAACATTGTAGAAACTACGATAAAAAAATGTTTACTTTTTTCTATAACATGTGTATGTATTAGTCTATATTTTGAGGCAAAAATAAATCGTTTTATTTGAAAATTGGTGAATCCCAAGCAAAAATTGTGTCTCTCTTAATTTAAGAATATTGATATTATTTTCAAATTTCAAATTATCATCAATGTCACAATTTAATAGGTTACACGGTAGACCCTCAGACTTACTAACACGTCATATTGACATTTTGTTTTAGATGGCGCTCTTTACACAAAATTGTACAGTACGATGAGATCTATGTTGGCAAGTCCAAGCTATTTATCCCATACGTAACCCACTCAAATATATCAAGCCGATTACGCTACTTGAGCTTAGATCAGAAAAAGTATCAACTTGATTAACACTTCTATTGATATAAATTCATGTTCCTGTTCCTGATCCCATAATCCCGTAATCCTAGGTAGTGGACATAAATATGAACTTGTCCATACATGCTAGACCAAGGATTCACCATTGTGGCTCGGGGGGGGGGGGGGGGGCTTTAATGAAGTAACAAAGCACAAGAATATCTCTAATATCTATTCATGAGAGCTGCTTTTGTCAAGTTAGATATTTCTCCTAAGAACGGGCACTTATTATATTGACGGGGTAGTCATTTGTTTGATAGGGAGGGGCTTTGTGTAGGTCACACTCTACTAATCAATGGCTCTGACAGGTCCTGTGATGAGACGCCCCCCCCCCCCCTTCTCGGTTTCTCGGTTTCTCACTCGCTCAAAAAATCATTAGCTCATAATGTTATTTCTATCCCCTCAGAAGGATGATAATACTTTTTTGTGAATGATTATTGGAAGAATGTTATCGGTTACATATTGTTTTAATGGCAACATTTATGTAATTATGATATAATGAACACGTTCAAAATTAGATGCTGCTTGTAAGTGTCGGCTTGCATGGCGATGTAGATATACAGTAGGCTCACATGGTGCACCCGCAAGCCAACTGTATACGTTCAAAATTGTGTAGCTGCATCAAAGACATGGAACAGCATCCCTCTTTCCATAAGGAAAATTACCTGTCTTGCCACCTTCAAAAGATCCCTCAAAACTCACCTTTTCCCCCAA